AATATGAGTGCATGTTTCCTGTAACGACGTCTAGCAGTATAAGTAATATGAGTGCATATTTCCGTAATAAAGCCCAGCAGTATAAATAATATGAGTGCATGTTTCCGTAAAGAAGCCTAGTAATATAAGTAATATGAGTGCATGTTTCCTGTAACGACGTCTAGCAGTATAAGTAATATGAGCGCATATTTCCGAAATAAAGTCCAACAGTATAAGTAATATAAGTGCATGTTTCCGTAATGAAGTCTAGCAATATAAGTATTATGAGTGCATGTTTCCTGTAACGACGTCTAGCAGTATAAGTAATATGAGCGCATGTTTCCGTAACAAAGCCCAGCAGTATAAGTAATATAAGTGCATGTTTCCGTAATAAAACCCAGCAGTATAAGTAATATCAGTGTATGTTTCCTGTAACGAGGTCCAGCAGTATAAGTAATATGAGTGCATGTTTCCGTAATAAAGCCCAGTAGTATAAGTAATATGAGTGCATGTTTCCGTAATAAAGCCTCGCAGTATAAGTAATATCAGTGCATGTTTCCGTAATAAAACCCAGCAGTACAAGTAATAAAAGTGCATGTTTCCGTAATAGAGCCAGCAGTATAAGTAATATGAGTGCATGTTTCCGTAATAAAGCCCAGCAGTATAAGTAATATGAGTGCATGTTTCCGTAATAAAGCCCAGCAGTATAAGTAATATGAGTGCATGTTTCCGTAATAAAGCCCAGTAGTATAAGTAATATGAGTGCATGTTTCCGTAATAAAGCCCAGCAGTATAAGTAATATAAGTGCATGTTTCCGTAATGAAGCCTAGCAATATAAGTAATATGAGTGCATGTTTCCTGTAACGACGTATAGCAGTATAAGTAATATGAGTGCATGTTTCCGTAATAAAGCCCAGCAGTATAAATAATATGAGCGCGTGTTTCCGTAATGAAGCCTAGCAGTAAAAGTAATATGAGCGCATGTTTCCGTAATAAAGCCCAGCAGTATAAATAATATGAGCGCATGTTTTCATAATGAAGCCCAGTAGTATAAGTAATATGAGTGTATGTTTCCTGTAACGACGTTTAGCAGTATAAGTAATATGAGCGCATGTTTCCGTAATAAAGCCTAGTAATATAAGTAATATGAGTGCATGTTTCCTGTAACGACGTCTAGCAGTATAAGTAATATGAGCGCATATTTCCGAAATAAAGCCCAGCAGTATAAA